GGACATGGGTCATCTTCCACTGCTTTCCCAGGCCATAACAGAGAGCTGGGTTGGAAGAGGAGCAGCCAGGATCTGAACCAGCACCCATGTGGAATGCCAGCACCGCAAGCAGAGGCTTAACCTACTGCGCCACAGTGCTGGTCCCAGCACACCTATTTTAAAAAACGCAAAATGGATACAACCAAGTCCTTCTATCAAGGATTCATTGCTTGGACACTGTCTGGACAGGGGGCGTGGTCAGCCCAGGGCCGGAGTGCCACTGATGGCTGCCCCCCTGGAGCTGTGTGTTTTGGGAGGCTGGGGTCTTGTCCCTCCTTGGTGGAGAGTTTCCCAGCCCTGGGTGCTCTGGGCTGGGGAAGAGGGCACAGAGGGGAAAGGGGTGGCTGACCCCAGGGAGGACCGGGGAGGCTGGGCATTTGTGTTCTTGCCTCTTAGTGTTAACACCTTGAGGGCTGCAGGGAGGTTCTGGAATCATGACCCGGGTGAGGTCCAAAAAGCAAGCAAGCCTGGGAGGTGTCTCAGTGCAAAACTCGAGCTCCCAGTTCTTCCCTGGAGCTGATAAAGCTCTTGCCAGCCGCATGGGGTGGAGCAAGGAGGTGGGCGGGATCTCAGGGCAGAGTGTCCCAGATGAGCTGGGTGACTCTGGGCTAATTAGGGACCTCTCTGAGCCACACTTTCCGGGGGCATTGCAGCAGTGGGGTGAGAAATCCTAGAAGCGGTTTTCGCAGGGCCACTGCCTCCCCCGTCCAACCACAGCCCTAGGGTTGCTGGCTCCTGCGTCTGCAGACTGAGGCCTCCCAGGCAACAAACGCTCGCCAAGTGGTTCCTAGGTCAGTTCTTCCTCCTGAGACAGAGAGCGGAGTGATAAGGCTTTACTGGGGATCGGGCATCCGTCAGAACGGAAGGGACAGAGAGAGAGGGCGCCCAGTCACTGGGGCTGGGGGAGAGCGAGGTCACATGGTTGGATGGAGAGAACACACCTGGGCAGGCCAGCAGAGAGGCAGAGAGCTGAGCACGCAGTCTGTTTGGACTCCCAGCTCTTAAGGGAGTCTCTTTACCCCCTCCCCTTCTCTTCCAGGACGAAGGCTGGGGAGCCCTGGTGAAAAGGCTTGTTGGGTGAAAATACAAAAAAATTCCTCTCCATGTTTACCACTGAGGTTGTCCGAGGAGGGAAGCCTTGCTGGTTTGGGGCCTCTCTCTAGGGTGCCCACCTTAGAGGAAAGATGTCTATCAGACAGAAGGGGCGGGACCACTTGGAAGGTTAGCAGGGTGACTTTGAAATGCAGATGCTGGGTGCAGATGCTGGGCTGCTGTAGAAGTCTCCTTAGGCCCTTCTCACACACAGAGGCTAATCTCTAACTTCCTGCCTATCACAGATCCTGGCCATACTTGCCTGCCAGCTGTTGGTGGCCTGGGATGGTCCTTGGCTTGTATGAGCTCTTCTTGTGCTGCCATTTCGTCTCCCTCCGTCCACATCGATCACTGTGTCCAAATTTCCCCTTTTTGATAAGGAAACTGGGGATGCTGGATGAGGGGCACCTTAACTAATTACATCCCTGACAACTCTTTCTCAAATAAGATCAGGTTATCTCAACCATCAACAGATGAATGGCGGGGTGGGGGGGGGCACCATTCAGTCTCTAACAACCCAGCCTGTTTCTGTGTCCCTGTCTTCCTCCGTGAGAATTCGGCTCTGTGAGGCAGGGGCCCGCTCTTTGTTGGTGAGTCTCCTTCTCGAACATGCTGCTGAATGACCGAACGCGTGGTCCTCAAGGTTGAGAACCTAGTGTATAACACGGTTTCCTGACTGCAACACTATAATAAGATACTTCTCTTTTTTTCCCATTTGCTGGTTCATTCCCCAAATAAATTTCTTTTATTCCATTTTTCTTAGCTTTTTGCAGTCCCCACTTATTTATTTAAAATTGGCAGATAAATTTTTTTAAAGAGTTATTTATTTACTTGAAAGTCAGAGTTACACAGAGAGAGAAGGAGAAACAGAGAGAGAGAGAGAGAGAGAGAGAGAGAGAGGTTTTCCATCTGCTGGTTCACTCCCCAGATGGCCACAAAGGCTGGAGCTGCACTGATCCAAAGCCAGGAGCCAGGAGCTTCTTCCGGGTCTCCCATGTGGGTGCAGGGGCCCAAGGACTTGGACCATCTTCCACTGCTTTCCCAGGCCATTGCAGAGAGCTGGATGGAAAGTGGAGCAGCTGGTACTTGAACCGCACTCATATGGGATGCCAGCACTGCAGGCAGCAGCTTTACCCGCTATGCCGCAGTGCCAGCCCCAGCAGATAAATTGTTTTTAAGAAAACTTTTATTTAATAATACAAATTCATAGATGAAGATTTAGGAATATAGTGGTTCTTCCCCCATACCTCCCCTCCCACCCCCACTCCTGTCTCATCTCCTACTCCCTCTCTCAAAATGAATTTTTTTTTTTTTGACAGGCAGAGTAGACAGTGAGAGAGAGAGAGAGAGAAAGGTCTTCCTTTGCCGTTGGTTCACACTCCAATGGCTACCATGGCCAGCGCACCATGCTGATCCGATGGCAGGAGCCAGGTACTTATCCTGGTCTCCCATGGAGTGCAGGGTCCAAGCACTTGGGCCACCCTCCACTGCCCTCCCAGGCCACAGCAGAGAGCTGGCCTGGAAGAGGGACAACCGGGACAGAATCCGGCGCCCTGACGGGGACTAGAACCCGGTGTGCTGGCGCCACAAGGCGGAGGATTAGCCTAGTGAGCCGCGGCGCCGGCCAAAATGAATTCTTAAGATTCATTATTAATTAACTCTATATGCAGAAGACCAACTCTATACGAAGTAAAGATTTCAACAGTTTGCACCCACACAGACACACAAAGTATAAAGTACTGTTCGAAAACAAGTTTTACCATGAATTCTCATAGTACAACACATCAAGGACAGAGGTCCTACATGGGGAGCAAGTGCACAGTGACTCCTGTTGCTGATTTAACAACTGACACTTTTATTTACGACATCAGTGATATTTCTAATAAGAGTTCACAGGCAGCTTCGTGGTGGACGAAGTTGCATATACTGGAAATCAGGATTTGTAACTGGAACTTCAAATCACACACAGCTCCTGCCCCGTGTCTCTTAGAAAGGCAGTACTGTTGTCCCGTGGCCTGGCGGGAGCCTGGGCCGTAGCGTCCTGCTGGACCACCCGTCCCCGTTCCCATGAGTGGCTGCTAGTGGGTGTGCACCTGCGCTCACCATCTACCCTTACATGTGTGACATTTAAGTATCCTTTCACTGGGGTCTGATTGCCTTAGAGCCGAGTCCACTCCACGGTGGGGGCTTCCTTCGTGCACTGGCCCTGACTCCCAGCACCAGCTCCTCGCTCCGTCTCCCAGCCTCGCCCTCTCCCTTCTCCCTCCACCGCACCTCCCTTTATTATATTTTCATCGAAGGCTGAGATGAGCTGGTTGCCGCATCACAGGCCCATTACACTTCCTAACAATTCCATTTGCACCGTATTGTCTGTTTCATTGCTGGAAAATTCAGGTGATTCATCATTCCCGAAGAAGCACCTGATCCCAGACCCCCGAGAGCAGAGGCGGCATGTGTCAGGGAGCAGCACCAGGGCGCGGGGCCGAGGGGGCTTCTCTGGGGACTTTTAGCTTCTCGGGCATTAATGAGCTCCCGTTGGTAATGCTGCCTCCCGCCTCTTCCTCTCCGTCCACAGCCCCCTGAGCCTGGAGAAGGGGAGGCGACTGATGGAGGACATCGCCCGGCTCCTGCAGGTGCCGCCCAGCGTCTTCGCGGACATCAAGTAAGCACGGATGCGGGCCCGGTGGTTCGTTCTCTGCCCGTGTCGTGTTCGGACTCGGAAATTGGCTTGCGAGTGGGACGATGGTGTGCCTGGGGTTCTTGTTAATTATATCACAGAGAAACTGTTTAGAAAAGAAATGAAAGGAAAATTCCTGTGGGCTTTGGGGAAGTTATTTAAATAGAGCCCAAACCTGCGATTAATTATAAGAATTACAATCTCTTGAAAGAAGAGCGTTGCTGAGACCCTGGCTCAGCGGTATCCAGGAGGCCTGCCTTCCTGCAAACAAGTGAGACCCTCTGGGGATGTTCATGCAGCAAACAGCACATATTGAGTACCCTGTGTATACATGGCCCCATCAGCAGGGTGCAGGGGGGTGGGGTTGGAGGTGGGCATTGGAGCCTGAACCACTGTTGGGACTGCAGCTCCAGAGTGTCCTTGTCTCATCAGGGAACTGGACTTAGGGTCAGCGGCACACGGCATGCACACGGGGGACGGCCACTTTCCTATTTCTTGAAAGTTGTAGAAATACTTGAGAAGGGTGTGTGTGTGGATGGAACTTGGAAACAGCTGGACATGGTCAGTGAGCAGAGGTGAGCTGACCACCGTGTTCTCACGGGAGAGCCTGGCTTTGGAGATGGGATTTAAAGAAGAGCAATGGGAAATCAGCACACCTGGAGAGAAGTGTAAGAACCGAAGGAGGGCTGGCGCCGTGGCTCACTAGGCTAATCCTCTGCCTGCGGCGCCGGCACACCGGGTTCTAGTCCAGGTCAGGGCGCCGGATTCTGTCCCGGTTGCCCCTCTTCCAGGCCAGCTCTCTGCTGTGGCCAGGGAGTGCAGTGGAGGATGGCCCAAGTCCTTGGGCCCTGCACCCCATGGGAGACCAGGAGAAGCACCTGGCTCCTGCCTTCGGATCAGCGCAGTGCGCCGGCTGCGGCGGCCATTGGAGGGTGAACCAACAGCAAAGGAAGACCTTTCTCTCTGTCTCTCTCTCTCTCTCACTATCCACTCTGCCTGTCAAAGAACAAAAGGAGGGCCAGTGCCACGGCTCACTAGGCTAATCCTCTGCCTGCAGCGCCAGTACCCTGGGTTCTAGTCCCAGTTGGGGCGCCGGTTCTGTGGCCTGGGAAGGCAGTGGAGGGTGGCCCAAGTGCTTGGGTCCCTGCACCCGCATGGGAGACCAGGAGGAAGCACCTGGCTCCTGGCTTCGGATTGGTGCGGCGCACTGGCTGTAGTAGCCATTTGGGTGGTGAACCAACGCAAGGAAGACCTTTCTCTCTGTCTCTCTCTTTCACTGTCTAACTCTGCCTGTAAAAACAAACAAACAAAAAAACAAAGGAGAAGACTTGTCTGAGTTCTTGGTCTCTGTGTGCAGGGGTACAGGACTGTGCCCATCCACACGGCCTTCTGTCCTCACAGTAAATACTCATCGAGCACCTGCTGAGGCCAGGCTGTGCGGGTCAGAACTCGATGTCCTTGCTTCAAATCTTAGCATTCGTCAGGAAAAGGGAATCTAGAGCACTCGGGATGTGTATGAGGAAGCATTTGGCCCAGGCGGGGGGCTGGAAGCTTCTAGAAGTAGGGATCCAAATGGCACATAGAGTTGTCCCACAGAGAGGCACGTCGCGTGCCCTGGGGTGCTGGTGGTGGCCCCCACCTTGCACGAAACGCAACGACACCACTTTAAAGGGGATGCCCACGGAGGAGCCGGAAGCGTCCCCGGATTCAGGACCTGCAGGGGTTTCCTGCACCTGTGTTCTCAGGTGGGCAGCAGAGGTGAGGGGCGCCCAGCAGGGAGACAGAAGCTTTACACAGATGATAAGGCCCCAGCGAGGGGGACGTAGTGAGATGGTCCATTTGTGCTGGGAAGAGCAGTCCTGATGCAGCCTGGGTAAGGCAGGACTGCAGGGCAGAGGGCGTGGCGAGACCCAGGTGAGAGATGGGGACGGGTAGGAGGTGGCCGCAGTGGGGCAGAGGGAGTGCAGCTCCAGGTGAGATGTGGCCGAAGGGGATACTTAGTTAGGGACCGTGAGTGGGCAGTGACTTGCTCATTGACTTCAGAGGAGAAGGAGGGCTCTTGAGCCTGACCACAGCCCAGTCACTTCCCGTCAGATGCCCTTGGGGCCTGACTCTCAGGGCGCGGGGCAGTGTCAGGTGCTGACCCAGTGTCGGGGTTCTCATGGGCCCGTCGGGCCTCCTTTGCACCACAGCAAAGACTCAGACCGTGGGTTCTGAGTCCTGCCCCGTGGTCTGTGTCTCTCGCCTCTCACTGCACGCTCGCAGTGCCGTGCACAGCAGTTACAGATCAGTGCGTGTTAATAGACAGAACGAGAGGCTGACAGTGAAGGCCTGGTGCTCCCAAAGCAGCCCCCACCAGCTGCATCAGACACAGCGGGTAAGGACAAGGCTTCCACAGCCTAGGCCGTTGCACCTGCTGCTGCCGCCAAGACCTGTGCTGCTGGCGGATCCATGAACGAGTGCATGGGTGCATGCTTAGCGCAGGTCAGCGTGTCGCGGCAGAAACCAGAGGTCAGTGGACAGCAGGCAGGGCTGCAGGCGCAGGGAGGCCCTCGCACGCCCGGCCCTGAGCAGCGGGAGGGGCTGTTACAGCGCAGGCACATTATTAAGACCATGAACAAAAGGAAGGTAATCACACGGAGCAGCCTTGGAAGCAAACTTCCTCAGGCCCACTCGGGACTGCAGTCATTGAATTTTCATTATTTTCCTTCAGCAAAACCCTCCCGTGGTGATTGTGTTGCAAATGGAATGCGGGTGCATGGAGTCTTTGTGTTTCCCAGGGATTCCCTCTGCCTACACTGAGGTTGGTTATGAACCGCAGGCTGTTTGCATCTGACTCCAGAATGAGCGCCTGCCCGGGGCGGGGGCCGCCTCCCTGCCAGGGTGCGTGCTGCTGAGACAGTGCCAGTGGGGACCTGGGGCCTGAGAGAGGAGCTGCTTTATTCTGGGGATAAGACCAGGGCCAGCAGCAAGGTTGCTGGCAGCAGCTCATGGGAGCCCCAGGGCTGACTGGGGTCCAGGCTGCACCCCTGTTCCCCCTCTGTCCTCTTACATTGCTTCTAGAGATGGTAAGTCACCTGGGGATGGGGCAGGACTCAGAACCCACGGCGTAGTCGGGACGTGCAGTGGGCCCCAGCCGAACTCCAGGCTGGAGGCACACGGGGGCCAGGTGCATTCTGGTCCATGCTCACCACCACAGCACTCCCTGAGCTAACAGGTGCACCCGCCTGGCTTAGAGCATGGAAATGGGACTTTCTCAGACAAGAGATTGGACTGCTTTGAAATGCTGCATGGCCTTCATTGACATACTGTCTTTTAAACTTTTTGGGTGTTCAAGGCTGAGAAACGTGGCTTCCCCTGGACCCAGCCCCTGGGTGCCGTCACCTGCCCATCTTTTCCGCCAGTGTTCCGTGGGACCCGCAGGGCCTGGCTGCTTCCTCTCCGTCCTCCCCAGCCTCACCTGGGGCTGCACCTCATTTCTCCCATTCCTTCCCGATAAGCCTCATCTCCGTATTGGATAATCCCACTAACCTTTAAAGAGAATCTCATCAAAAGGGCAGATTAACCAGAGCCAGCCACAGGGAGGGAGGGGTTGTGATGGCAGAAAACCAGGCAGTACGTATAGGCACAGGGCTCACCTCGCCTCCCCCTGCTCCTTACCTGGGCTCACCCCTCCCACACAGAGCCCCTTCCGTGACCGGGGACGGGCTTGGGTGGGCCTGAGCTTCCCCGTGAGTGAGGTCTGAGCACTACCATTCTGTCCCTGAGGGGCTTCGCGTCCCAGGTGGGTGTCCTCCCTACGGCTGTGCCTGGCTGGGATCTTTCACCCACCCTACTACTCTTCTGGTTCTCGTCCCTGGGCCAGAGCTGAAGTCTGACCTTTGCCGGTCCCTAGTGCTCTGCTCCCCACCCTGGCTCTTGGATTAGTGTGTGGGCCTCTGTGCACACCCCCAGCCTTAGAGCAGCGGGCACCCACCCGGCAAATGCTCCCAGCTCTACAGACTGACTCGGGCACTGGCTGACGCGATGACACAGGGTGTCTCCGGGAGGGAGCCACTCATGACCAGCAGGCCCGTCCGTCATCACTCGACACTGCATTGAAGAGCACGTCCCCATAGCCGTTCATTGTTCCAGGAAAGCAAGAGGGCACATGTGTGCCTGCGCACGCAGACACGGCCTGCATTTTTATGGAAGTACTAGTTATGCTTAATATGTTTTGTTAATGGTTATGTAGCTGTCAAATAAATTCCATTATTTCTTATTACATCATTAGAGACCATTAAAACAGCATTAGCATGCTGATGTAATTATGCCGGCAGACGTACAACGACCACAGTTATGGTTTTATAATCTAATCACGGCTGTCCCAGGCAGGGCTGATTGATGCTTGGGCGGCTCTCCCTGGTATTTTGGTCAGGTGGGCAGCTGCAGCACTGGGAGGAACAACACCAACACCACCAACAAAAAAGCATTCCCAAGAGCCCTTGCGCCCACAGTGAGATGGGCCCAGCGTCATTCTTGCAGACGAGCTGGGAAGCGCTGCATCAGCCCAGGGGTTCATTCTGGGATCCATCTTCCCGCGCCCTCAGGATGCGAGACGCATTCAGCGTCTCATCTGCGGGGCTTACTGAATTGATGGATACAGGGTTCTTGGTCTTCAAGACGGTTCCTGGAGCTGCAGGAGTGGGGATTCTTCACCCTGACGGGTTTCATTAAGGTCCCCACTATGCTCCCACCTGAGCCTCCCTGTGCCCACCCTCGTGCACTGCCCTCTTAGCGAGAGACAGGGTCCCTGGGAGGTAGTGGGCTTTGGGAGATAATGCCTCTGTTTCCTGGGGGCAGGGAAGAATTGTGAATATTTGAGCCGGGTCTTATCTGTCTGCGTCGCTGGGCCGACGGGACTGGTGAAGACATTAAACAGGAAGCAGGAATTGGGAGACTGGTGACCTCTTTGGTTTTCTCTGTGGCCCTAAGGATGACAAAGC